TAGAACTTAGGGAAAAAGCCTCCACTCTGCCCGTTTCCAAGGAAGCTCCACGGAAACTTGCAGTGCCGATTCTCATGAGCTTGGCTGCTCATCCCTATTTGCCTGTGTATTCAGAGGAATTCCAGTGTAGGACAGACTAGATGGAACACGCCTGTGGCTAAGGCAAAAGATTAGCGAGAAAGAAATATTTCAGCCAGAGTTTAGAATTGCAGAACGAGAATTAGCGAAGTCAATTCCTGACTCTGCCTTTGATTAGCAAGTTCCTTTTCAGCCTGTTTTTTAAGCATCTGTACAGTAAGACTTTGGATTAGATCATGTTTTGAGTTCGTATGGTTTCAGTGGCTTGGCTGTCAGCACTCTTGAGTTGAGTTCATTTTGATGATTTAAATTATAAATGACAAGGATGTGCAAAGAGGTTAAGTTGCCCAAAGACACACAGCTAGTAAGTGGGGGAGCTGTGATTTGAACTCAAGTAGTTTGTCTCCAAAGCCTGAACTCTTAGACATTAACTTAAAACACAGAATTAAAAAACCAAATGAAACCCAAACCATTTCAAGTTTACCTTTTGTTAACCATTAACATATGTATAACATACCATTATTTTTGGTTGACTAATAGATAGAGTGAGATTTAAAATTTTTCTCTTAGGTCCTCCTGTAGTAGTTTTGATTTTCTGCAAACTTTAGCAGGTTTTCTTTGCCTGATAACTCATTGTTTCCTATGAAAATATCCAACAGCATCTCCTGACTTGTTCTTTCAGTGGAAACATCCTAGTCTACCCACAGCTGGCTGGCTGAGTTAGCAACAGCATGCGCTGGCTTGTCCTGCAGGCCCTCGAGTCTTTGTTGCCTCTGTCAGCTGGACAGCATAGGCCTTGGTTTGCATCTTTAAAAGGATATTCACAGGCCAGCACAAAGAGGGACAGTTCTAGGGTCGAAGAAAGGCAACAGAAAGAGTGGCAGGTTAGAAAATCAACTGAGAGTTCAGCTACGAGCAGCCATACAGTATCTTCTGAGGAAATTCCCATAGCAATTCATAACAGCTGAGAAGCAGAGGGAAGATACAGAAGAATAAATATAATCAGAACCTATTAGACTAAGGGTTTATTACACATTAATTTTTTGACATACAGACAAAAGGTTGTCCATATTAATATAGGCAACTTGATGAGATTGGAGACAAGTATGTACCCAGAAATCATCACCACAATTGATGCTATAAACCTATTCATCACCTCCAAGAGTTTCCTTACACCATCTTATTGTTGTTATTATTTTTATGATAAGAGTACTTAACATAAGATTTGCCCTCTTAGGAAAATTTTAAGTATATAATATAATATGATTAACTGTAGGCTCTGTGCTATACAGTAGATCTCTGGGACTTACTCATCTTGTATAACCAAATCTTTGTACCCTTTGACTAATACTTCCATTTTCTGTTACACATTTTTTTTTTTTTTTACTAATCAGAAGTTGATTAGTAAAAATATGGATGAGAAAAAGTAAAAGTTTGGTCAAACAAGACATCTTCATTCTGCTCTACCTAAGAAAGGTGACAAATCCAGGCGATTCTTCTCTTTTGAATAATAAATTTAGAGAGCTGACTTCGTGCATGTATGTCCAGTCCATGGAGCTGATGATAGGAAGACCCTGCTTCAGCTAAGCCAAGGGACATGGTTGCCTGAGGCAAATGTGTGTGCAAGCGAGTCAGTTGGACAGGGGGACACGGGAAGCTGTAACTGGAGTCAATCTCACATTTTGTGTTTAGATACTCATTTCTGGCTTAGTAAAAATGCCGCCTTGCAGGAGCGAAAACCATGTCATTATGCCAGCTAAGTAAGTACGGGATTACCTGCTTGTGTACTGCTTTATACTTAAGAAAGCTTTTTGCAGTCTCTTCTTGATTAGGAAACCATATAAATGCTTCCTGCGCCTTCTGAGAAATGAGGACATACGTATTTTTTCCATACCAGTGTTTTGCTTATATTATCATGATCTGGTGTTCTGTGTTTTCACATGAAATTTTCTGCTTGCTAATTTAATAATGAAAAATTCAGCACACAGAAAAAAGCAGAGATGTTCTGAGGCATAAAATTAACCATTTGTACGCCATAATCATCTATAGATGCAATTAAATTCAAAATATTGTGGCGAGGGGATGGTTTCAGTTTTGGATGCGTGGCAGTTAACTGGTTAAAAATACAATGGTCCCATGTACTTCAAGGGAATAAAGGAGGAATGGAGATTGCCACCGGGTGTGTGGTGCGGATGAAATAAACTCGTAATCCCTCACCATTCTGGCCTCATGCGTTCCTCCTTCGGCGACCTAACAGAGATGGCTTTAAGGAGTAGAATAGTTGTGACTGTTAAAAGGTGTTGTTTTTCACAAATCATGGGAAAACTAAGATGAATACATCCACTTAAAGTTATTATTTAAAAACAAAACAAAACAAAACAAAAAACAAGCTCATAGATACAGAGAACAAATTGGTGGTTTCCAGAAGCCAGGGGCGGTGGTGGTGATGGGGTGGTAGTGGTGGTGGGGGGGAGGGTGAAGGGGGTCGAAAGGTACAAATTTATTATTCTAGTTATAAAAGAAATAAGCCCTGGGGATGTAATGTACAGCGTGGTCACTATAGTTAATAATACTGAACTGCATATTTGAAAGTTGCTGAGACTAGATCTTAAAACTCCTCATCACAAAAGAAAACATTTTTTTGTAATTATGTAGGGTGACGGTTGTTAACTAGATTTATTGTGGTGATCATTTCACAATATTTACAAATACCAAATTTAAAAAAAGTTATGCTTATATCTAGACATTCATATAACCTCTTCTAAAAGTGTACTGTCAAAATAATTCTTAAGGAGTTTCCCGAAAAAGATTACATGACTTCTATGTAGCTTGTTTTGTTGTTAAATATGGAAGAGAACTGGACATTGTGCCTTGAAAAATAACCTCACACATACTTGAAAATAGCAGCAAATCATGTACTTGCATTATTTTAATCCATCTCTCTATCTCTACTTTTTTCTCTCTTTCTTTCTATCTCTCAATACTAGATATACAGAGAGATATGTATAACTGTTTGTTCTCTCTCTATGTACACACACACACACACACACATATACACGTGGGTGGGCAAAAGCAGGTTTACAGTTGTAGTAATAATACATAATTAACAAATAATAATATGCAAAGAAACTGTTTCTTGTACTTACAACTGTAAACCTAATTTTGCCAACCCTTGTATATATATGTATATGCCTACATTATATGGCTTCTTTAATCTTTAGGATTATATCTAGATTTCTAATCTTTTACATTTAAAAAAATGATTTTGACTGTTTTCTTTGTATTCTTTCTAAATTTTCGTGTTCAACTCAAATCTTAGAGCTGGAAATAGATTATTCTGAGAGTAATAATTGTCAGTAGTGCTGAGTAATTATAGTCAGACCTTTACATTTGTGTCACAGTATTGTACGACCTTGAGGAAGCCACTTTGCTTTTCCGGAGTCTCTGTTTTCATGGCTGCAATCTGAGGGTTCTTTAAGAATGAAATGAGAACATGTCACTCTCCTGGCCGCCTGGTAGGCAGCCCTCACCATGTCTCGTTTCTTCCCACTCTGCTAGCTGCATTCATTGACATTTGTTTTTTTAGACAATCATTCTCTTGAGTTTTAGCTACATCTGTGTGTGTTTAGATTTTTTGGGTTGTATTTGTAAAAAGAACCAAAAGCCATTGTATTAACGAAAAAGAAAGTAAAGACACCAACCTAGCATGGCCGTGGTCTTGTGGGAGTGGATCTCAGCGCAGCCTGGATCGGATAAAGCTCAGGAACCTCAATGTTCGTCCTAGAAGGCGTGTCCTTTCTGTCACCTGGAATGCAAATGGTTGTCTTGTTTTCTGACCAGTTATTCCCCTGACACAGAGCCTCCCGGCCTGTGTTGTTGAACAAGTGTTAACCCACATAACCTGTGACTCAGTTACTCTCTGTCACCCGGTAAAGGAGCTGAGAAAGTGCTGAGTTGCCAAGAGCAGGAAGGAAAGACCCTGAACGGTCACTTGTTTCTTAATTATTAGTTGCATCGAAGCTAGTCAGTTGGATGTATTCCCTTTATGCTCTTGGTTTTGAAAATTAAGATTTTTATTCCTTGACTTTTCTAAGAATAGGAGAAACTGGTGGCATTTACCTACATGGCCTTCATTTTTCCTGAAATTGAGTTGATCATCCGAGTTAAGCCGCCCACTTTCTTCACTCAACATCCATGCTAATCCAGTTTCTGCTTCCCGTACCTCAAGTCCAAGTCCGCATTTAAGAGTGAGGAAGGTCAGTCAGAAGCAAGATCTGAAGTTCTGAAGGGACTTATCTTGTGGCATTTCTTAAAAAAAATAAGAGACATAAAATGACAAGCATTTAGTGGGGAGCAACCCCCCGCTGTGGCTAACGCTGACACCAGAGCCATGGTATATTTTTTTTCATCATGTTAGGCTGGAAACCTTACCTTCTCTTTATTCCAACCTTTCTCTCTGAGTCATCATAGAATGCCAAGACTTTTGCCTGAAAGATGATGCTAGGTTACCAAACAAATAATAAACGCGTTACAGCTTCCAGTTAGCCAGAGTTAGCCCTGACCTCACCCAGCACCGTCTGCATCCACCTGAGGAAGGTCCTGGGGCTCCTGGTATGTCCTTCCCGCCTGGGAGGAGGCGGGATAGGCGTCAGCTGGGAAAATGACAAAAACATAGATGGAAGTCACTTTCTTATATCATATTTTTAAGTAACTATTGATTATAGAGAGTAGTTCAGCCTTTAGTGAATGGTTAAGGAAGTACTCATAAGTTTGTCATCAAAAGGTTTTATTATAACGATGTTATACTATTAAAGTATATAGTTGTAAATTGATGATACAGCAAGTAAAAAGACAGTTTACATTTTTTTTCTGCTTAAAACAATTTTTATTTTTGATGAAAAAATACAGATACATTTTTTGCTTTGAAGTTATTTTACACGGCAAATCAACTTTAGGTCCTCTGAGACAAGGCTGATGTGTTTTCGTTTCAGAACACATTGAATTGCAATTATTCCACTATAGAACCTTTCCTGCTGCGGCATGGTTTCCTCTTCAGTCTGACAAATGCAGCAACATTCCCATATCCCGATAAGTTGGGTTTTAAGAGGCAAAGTTAAAATCCTTTGAGGATCCTGAGTACACTTTTGAACTCGGAATAAGGGTTATTATGACTATTAACTTAACTTCTGTATAAACAGAGGCACAGCTCAACATCCCAGAGAAGGCTTCTTTGAGACACAAGAGAAGGGGTGCCCAGTTGTCATAGCAAAGTGACTCCCTTAGGACCCAGCAGGCTGCTCCAAGGGGTCAAGTTCCCCTCAACTCAAGCCAAGTGCACTGCAGGCCTTTAAAAGCAGCAGCAGCCTTGTCGGGAAGAACACGCTGCCTGCACTCCCCAGGCTAACCTGGCAGCGCCCTCCTGGGAGTTGTGGCATCGGGGAGAGGAGGGCATGCTAGATGTAAGGACATTTAGGGGTCTCTTTCCCCCAAGGTATCCTCAAGACTGCACGCACTCTGCTGGGTGAAAACTCCTGGGAGTTGTGGCATCGGGGAGAGGGGGGCATGCTAGATGTAAGGACATTTAGGGGGTCTCTTTCCCCCAAGGTATCCTCAAGACTGCACGCCACTCTGCTGGGTGAAAACACGAACACTTTATTACTTAGCATTCCATCTGGAAAAACAAATATCAGTTTTGAATATGGCAAAAAAAATGAGGAGAATTTTATATACAATTAGAGATAGTGGAGCTGCACAGTGACCTTGTAGGGACTCAGCCTACACAGCGATGGCCATAGCAGGGAGGGTGCTCTCTGTGGCTTAGAGGCTGAAGATCTTGAATGAGCAGAAATGATTTGAAGAACTGCATTGCTATCATGATAACATGAATGAAAGACTATATTCTAAATCTTGACTAACTTAACATTGTTACGTCAAGAGTGAAATTGCTGCTGAACCGGTTTTGCTCAGTGGATAGAGCTTCGGCCTGCGGACCCAAGGGTCCCGGGTTTGATTCTGGTCAAGGGCATGTACCTTGGTTACGGGCACATCCCCAGTAGGGAGTGTGCAGGAGGCAGCTGATCGATGTTTCTCTCTCATTGATGTTTCTAGCTCTCTATCCCTCTCCCTTCTTCTCTGTAAAAAATCAATAAAAAAAATATATATTTTTTAAAAAGAGTGAAATTGCTGTAGCTGTTTAATTAAAAAAAAAAAGAGCGAGGCTTGAAAAAAATCGATGTTCCTGGTAATCCCTTTTCATATCCTGTTGAACCTGAAATGCTGCTTATAATACATATTCACAAATGTCATCTGGTGCTATTTTAGTCAGAAGCCCCTTTTGCTCATGAGAAAGCCATGTTTTGTATTTCCACAAAGTCTGTAGATGTTGTTAACATAATAAACATCATGACATGTCGTATGTAAATTCCATTTACCCACTGGCATTTGAAAAATAAGGAACATTTTTAACTATTAATACAGGATTTGTTACTAAGAAGTGGTGTAGGAAGGAGTTCAGTGTAAAACATTTTCTTTGCATAGATCATTTCAAGATGAATAAAGAAACCCCAGATACTATTTACAACTTACAAACCTTTCTTAAATGTTCTATGATAAAATTGCCTTATTCTTAGAATATGAGGCATATAGTTGTAGCAAGTTTACTGCATAAATCAATAGCCCCCTTAGCTTGAGGAAAAGATGCGCTTAGGGTCTCCCAGCACCAAGAAGATAGAAACGATTCAACTCTGAGTAGTTCTCTTTTCCCCTCCTGAGTAACTCAAGATGCTTTAGCCAACACCTTAGACTTGTACATCATTATTAATGATACAAGAAAAGGCGACAGAGACAAGAACCAGGACTCTTGACTCCAAGTGCTTACTCTCCTAAAAGTGCATTGCATTTTAAAGCGATGGATGCCTTTCTTTGGCGCTGCAAAAGCAGAAGTTCAAAAATTGTTGGGGAATTTTCCTACTGAGTATGTGAAGATTTTTAAAAAAGCATTAACATTTACTACCACTTGAATAGTATTTGAGAATTATGTAATTAAGATCCCTTTATGAGCGTAGCAAGTAGGTGCCCAATTACACCAATTCTGAGACTTGCAATGCCATTACGGATAATTTGGTCCAAATATCTCTATGGGGCCAGCATGCTACTCCAGGTCACTCTGGTCATATCAGACGGGAACAAGGGTCTTCTGTGTAGATCATGTTACACGACCCTCGCAGCTCAGCGGCACCATGGAGGTGGCCGTGGCCACTGGCGATGGGACAGATCACTCTTTCTGTCATGACCACATTCTGCATGAGAAGTGGATCCAAGGCCGCGGTGGGAGGTTGCGCGAGGGAGCCAGAAGCCGAGTAAGTCTCCGTCACCAAGTAGCCACCCTGCTGCAGGGGGTCGGGGATGCAAATGGCCGGCTGGAGGACAGAGCCGGAAGCAGACCAAGCGCAAGCTCCTTGGCCGCCCGACGTGGTCTGGCCCCCAGACAGCTCCGAGTGCTGGATCTCTACAGAGTGGCCACAGGCGCCCGTCCCGGAACCGCTGCTCTGGGTGGGCAGCTGAGACTGTTGGCCTTTGCCATCGAGCCCCAGGCTGATCTCTGCGAGTTGTTTGAATTTCGGGCCCAGCGAGTCCAAGAAGCTCTCATCCAGGTCATCGGCAATGAAGCTGCAGCAGCCCAGGGAGCCCACGGGGGAGCTGGGGGCCCCCAGGCCTTCGTTGTCGTAGATCAGCAAGCAGTCATTTGCTTCCTGGCCATCGTCTTCCTCTGCGCAGGCGAATGCTTTCTAAAGGTGGAGAAAAGTAGGCAAATGAATTTAAAAAGAGACTCAGCGGAAGAATGTAGTACCATCCCTACACTCAGGGTCTGATCGTGAATGCGTGACTTAGGTAATCCGTGGACATAGACGTAGTCTTCGTACCAACAATCGTAGCAGAAATTATCTGGGGTTTGGAAAGTAGTGTAGTTGACTTTCCCTCAGAATTGAGCCTGGCCGAGGCTCAGGTGTAAATTCTTGGTTTTGAAGGCACTTACATGGATGTAGGCCTGAAAAACCAATGTGTATGAAGCCCGGAGGTTACTCCCTGGGCCAAGTGTGAGGGCCCTGTGTGTACTTGTGCCCATGCATGTCTTTGTGTTTGGGGGAGGGGAGAAGACATCCCACTGTCATCGTCTACACAGCTCCCACCCAGACTGCGGCCTTGGCCTAGACTCTGCAGCCCTCGTGGGAGCCTGCCCCTTAACTAGGACCCACACCACCTCAGACTATCCCAAGAATCCTCTTCCCAAACAAGCCTTCCCTGCCAGGCTAGCCTCAAGCACAGTGCCAGCCTACATTAGCTCATCTGAGGGCAAGATCCTGGCACTTACCAGTCTGAAACCAAAACTATATGTGAGATCTGTTCTAATCACACACCAACCAGGAGGCAAGCAACCTGCTCCCAGAGTCCTCTCTGTTCTGGTACCCTTGTCCCTTTATGGTTCTGTGCTCATTGGATCTTGGACCACATCCCTTCTTCCCACTTTTATTTTTGGGTCATTGATGCAATGGTTCTTCAACTATTCTGGGCATGGACTGCTTTGAAAATGTGAAGAATACTATAACCTTTTCTCATAAAATATATGCACTTCTGTTCTGACATCCTTTATGGTATAGGAAATATGAAACAGGCTGCTTCGCATTTCTAAAGAGGATGTTGCTGATCCCGAAATGCAAAAGAGTTTGCCATCCGTTGCTATTCCAGTTGGAAGGATGAGGTGCCACTTGCTATCTTCTCTCACTTTGTGTCTATTTGCCTATTTTTCCTTTTGACCAGTAGCCCAATTTTGACAGCCATCCTACTTTATCTGTATTATTTAGGCAAAGAACCCCGATTTTTTGTTACATTTTAACAAGCTGTAAAGCAACTGCAAAACTGAAATATAGTCAAGTAGAAAAAGATCTCTAACGTAAATAACAGAGCCATGAAGTTTTTCACCAAATTACCTGGGAAAAGTAGGACTCCAAGAAATTCATGCTTATTACTCCTTCACCACATTCTCTGTGGGTCCCGCCAGTGGAATGCCTTGTTCGCATGGTTCCCGACTGGCCCGCAGAGCAGAAGCCAAGTCCAGTGGTGGCTCCGAACCCCGCAGCTGCCCCAGATCCTGCGGCTGCTCCAGATCCCGCGGCTGCTCCAAGGTTGGTGGTCAGTTCCATGCCCGAAGCTCCTTCCGCCGTCATTCCTCTGGCACAGGCATTCATACAAACATCTAAACACAGGGGAGGAAATTCTCTAACGTCTCCTGCTGGGATTCTTTAAAATCCTGGTCTTTGATATCCATGAGCAGTCATTAAGTAAAGCAAATCGGTGGGAGAAAACACAATGCTATGTCTAGTGGTGATAAGAACACCCCACAGTCTGTTATGTGAGAGTAACGAGGAGGGGAGGGTATAACAGAGGATACTGGCAGGTGAACGAGCTCTGAAAAAAACATGCTAATTGAAAAATATACAAAGGAAATGGATTTTCAGTGACAGCGGTCAGCAATGGAAAAGTAAAAACAGAATATTCAGCACACCGCAGTGGAAAGCTTCTGATGCAATGCTTGTTTGTTTTCAGGGGAAAAATTGTAATGAAGCTGCCATATTGGCTCAGTCTGAAACCCAAAGAGGAGACATACATATGTGATCATGCAAATTAGCTAATGCTAATTTGGTGTCTTGCTGCCTAAGGAAAATGTATGAACTGTGACTATTCTGCCTGTTACCTTTACATTCTGCTGTCGTAGAAAGTTCTTTTTTTCTAGAGAATTCTGAATATAGCTTTGCTATGTAATTATAATGGGGGAGCAGGTGAGGATTGGGGTCACTTTTAAAGGTAGACAGTTACATTTTTGAGGATATCTCATGAAGATTTTATATCTATTGCTAAGTATAGAATTAAGAATATTTTTAATATTGGGCATTAAGGTCTTATTGTTCCTCTAGTTTATGCCTTAGTTGTGGCATTGGGATAATATGAATAAGAGAGTCTTTGGTAAACTAAAGGAATAATGTCACCTGTATGACAACATAAGTGATCTTGTCCCATTATGGTTGAAATAAGAATTGGTAACTAGACTCAAATCTGGATACTGTTAGTTCTGGGGAAGGGAGAAGGGCAATAAGATTGAGGATGTGCACATATGAGATTTTAAGTGCAAATATTACCAATGTTCTGGGCATATATCCTAAGAATCCCAAAACACCAATCAGAAAGAATATATGCACCCAAATGTTCACATAGCATTATTCAGATTAGCCAAGATCTGGAAATAGCCCAAGTGCCCATCAGAAGATGAGTAGGTAAAAAAACTATGGTACTATGAACAAAGGAGTACTATGCAGCAGCAAAAAAGAAGGATCTCTTACCCTTTGCAATAGGATGTATGAACCTAGAGAGTACTGTGCTAAGCAAAATAAGTCAAGTATCACATAGTCTCACTCAGATGTGGAATCTAAAGAACAAAATAAACTGATGAACAAGATAGAACCAGAGGCATGGATAAATGGAACAGACTGGCAGATCTCAGAGGGAAGGAGGGTGGAGATGACAGGAAGAGATCAACCAATGAATATATATGCATATATGCATAACCCATGGACACAGACAACAGTGTGGTGGAGGCCTAGGGGGTGGGGGCAGGGTGGAAGGAGGCAAAGGGGGAGAAAGTGGGGAAAATGTGTAATAGTCAACAACAACAAAAAGAATAGTCAAAGTTGGGTGGTAGTACAGTGTTTGTTATGTTTTTCTATATGTGTGAAATCTTTTCTATTTAAAAAATCATAATTGACTGTGTGAGAGCTATAGTTCAGTTTATTAAAGTTTGAGAAAAGTAACAAATCTTCATATATTAAAAACAGTGGCATCAGTGGGCAAATGAACTTTACTGAAGCCAGATTTAGGTCATGAAATTGACTAATATCCTAAAAATAAACCATTTCATTAAAACCCTATTTTAATGGTACCACCTCCTAGCATATACACAAATATGCAAATTATTAAGAAAAGAATTTAGAACACTTCTTGTTTTTCAACATTTCTTATTTAACCCACTGTGACTTTCAGAAATAAATTTGGTGTTCACGTACCAGAATTTTCCATGAAATCAGCTCCATTGGAGGTTATAAGTGGCACACAAATATTTGTGATTTCCTGCAAACCCTGTTTAAAAAAAATACATTAAAGACACACACACAGATTTTGTGGTCCTTTGCAAATGGTGACATTACAAGAAACCCAAATGCTTGCAGGAATAACCACTTTTAGGATTTGACGTCTGAAGAACTAAGATCTTAAAAGGCTCCGTTCATTTCAGCATGACTCCCAAGGGTCCTTGAGGGCCAGGGAACCTCTTATTTTTATACCCCAAATCGCCTTTCCTACCTGAATATAAACAGAACTTCACTCTGTATAATTGAGATAAACCTGGATCCTCACCTTGTCTTCAGGTTGGGCCCCTTCGATCCCCCATTGGTGAATCGTTCCTTCTGAGCCCTCAGGAACTGGGATGAATCCAGTGGTTGCTCCCCCAATGGGACCCTTCCCACAGTCACAGGTCAGCAGCAGAAGGGGGGCCACTAGCATAAAGGAAGACAAAGTAGTAAGACATTTCAATCTCTCGGAAATGAGTTAGCATGACGATTGTCAGAAATGTTACAAAGAAAAGAAAATATTTTTAATATTTATGGAAAATCTAATAGAAAGCACAGTTTGTTTCTGTGAAATAACATTTGGTAAATTAAACATACTAAAAGTTCATATGATCATGAAACTGAAGGAGACAGAGCGGTCATTCTTGTGATATGTGTATTGTTGTCTTAAACGGGCCCTGTTTGATGGCTGATGAACATGGTGGTTCCTTGTTCGTAATTCTTATTATGACGGCGTTTATTTGTACATGTTGAGGCTGTGTTTGTGGTGTCAAGTGAATGCACACGGGATGGACAGGATTTGAGGTGGGCGTGATGTGTTAGTGGTCTGGTCTCCTCTGCGCTCTTAGGAAACAGCAATTAAACCAGCAAACTGCACTTCCTTATGCTTTAAAAATACCTTGTAAATTAACATTTAAGCGAATGGGTTTAGTGGATTTTAACTCTAAGAGTCTATGGTTTTATAATGAATTAGGGAAATGACTGTGAATTTTTCAAGGATTTCTCTTATTTATATAAGAATTTACCAAAAGTTCTTTTAAATTAAAAATATGATTTGATTCACAAGATTTCGATTTAAATGCAACTTTTAAGAAACCTGTCTATTGAATAAAGTGCATTTTACTTCTATTAAAAAAATAACACACATGTGTAGTTTCCCTAAATGTGTTCCATGACCCTAATCATATGAAGTGAGGAAGCTATAAAGGGTGCGCATTGAAGCGGGCAGCTGCTTGGAGGAGGGGTTGGATCAAGCAGTGTCTCGGAGCCTGTGATAAGTTACTGTTGCTGTAACGCACAAAGCCCATGATTTCCTACATTGATTTGTCCAAGGCTCTCTGTTTATTTCAGAACCTCATGAGACTTGGATATGGCGAAAACATTTTAGGAAGTGTCTCCCTCATGGATAAAGTCATTGTTTTGATCATGAGTATTATTTTCCCCATCTTGATTCTCTCATGCTGTTTTCTAAATGTCTAGCATTTATTACTTGCTTATGCCTTATGCTAATGTCTGCCATTTGTGACTATAGATTGCGACTCACATATATGACCTGCTTGGCTGGGTATGAATATAGATTATTGGCAAGTGACACGTTAACTGTAAACACTGCAGATTCTTCCTGGGAATGCCATTTCCCCCGCTTTGCCTATGAAAGTTAGGGAACATGTCTACTGTGTCGCAGACATGCATCGCCCGTGCAGTGCGAAGGCCTCTGCAGTGCTGACCCCGGGGAGAAACAGGAGGAAGCGTGGGGATACTCACGCAGCAACAGCAAAAGGCCAAGCAGGATCAGGCCGATGGCGTTGGGCCCCAGCCTCCCAGATGGCTGGTCTCCATACCTGGGCCCGGGCTGGGGGTCTGTACAGGTGTCCCTGTTGTCACACTGACACACCTCCACAGCCAGGCCTTCTGGAGTGTCACACTGCCTGTCTTGTCTGTCTGCAATCACGAGGGAGATGGGGTATCTCCCGGGGGGCAGCTGCTGCTGGGTGGTCAGCAGTGCAGAGGTGGCTGTAGAGAAATAATCATGCAAATCAACAGTGGGACAGGTGCCTTTTCTCTAAAACTACTGCTTTTGGTTAACAGAACCAGAGTTCTGTAGACGTCACTGTCGCAAGCAGTGGGGCTAATGGTAGGGTGAGATTTGAGCAGTTATGAGGCTACAGGGATTCGGCTGGGTAAATCGGGCTGCACATCCTCCTGGTCCCAGAGGGTCCCCCATGAAGACCCAGTCCTACCCGGAATGTCCCCATAAAGAAGAGGGGCGCCGGCATCATTTAAGTCCCAGGTCCCTCTCCTGGGGCGTACCCACTCCTGTGTGGCTGCCTATGCCAACTCCTTGGTTCTTGGTGGCCCTCTTGAGACAGGCGGGAAGCCAGGGCAGTGGAGCAGGGACACGGAGACCGTAGCTGAACAAACTGGCGGAGCCATTTACAGCCGGTACAGAGGGTCGCCTCCCTGGAGGTAACCTCTAGGCCTCAGCTGTATTTCAGCTCCAGGCCCAGACAAGCAGCAACGCCAGGTGGGTGACACCAGGACCTGCTGTGATGACTGACTAACCCCTGCCCTGACACTGACCAATTGGTGGAGACCATGACCCTGAACCTAGAAAACGGATTAATATTCTGCTGAAACCCTCCCCTGAGACCTTTCCTAAGATTCCAGCCTGTAAGAAAGAGATAAAGTCTCCAGACAAAGGACTCAGCGTGTGCTCTCCCTTTGGGGGGACGCCCCCTGTCCCGCTGTTCCTTTCCCCTCTTCTTCCCCCACAGGCACGCATCTCCTAAACCCTAAGGGACCCCATGCGGCTTGCAACCAGGGGAGCAGTGGGCAGCAGCAGCTCGTCCCAGGTTCACCCCTAAACCTGTCCCAAGGCTCCCTTTTCCCTGACTCCCCGAGAGCTAGGGCAGCCCAGCCCAGGCTCTCCTGTTGCTTCTTCTAAGCTAGTCCCTTCTTGTTTTATGACTCCAGCTTGAGCAAGTGTTCCCCCACAGTCATCTGAGCTCGTTGTGAAGTTTTTCCTGCAGGAGGTCAAGCACCCACACACTACCGGCCGCCCGAGGCAGACCCACCAAGGGCCAGGTCCCCTTTCCTGTAACACCATGACTGCATCCCTCCTGCCTAAATCCATGTGTTTGTGTCTGACTTACCAAGACTGACTGTCTGCTTTGGCTGATGCTACCTCAGCTGCTCCTGTCAGTCCTGATCCCATGAGCCTGGTGCTGGTTGTATGGGATTCCCTGTGGTGAAGGCCATTGTCTATCTGACTTGTGAGCATTGATTGCTCTCCATTCTCTATTGCTACATCGTTCCTTTCTAAGTGGGCTCCAGCAGCAGCTCTCAGTGGCTGCAGGTCTGTGCTGCGTCCGTCAGTCCTTATTTATTTATTTTACACTCAATATTATTTTGTTTTAGTTCCAGCTGTACAGCCTAGTGTTGAATCGGTCTTGACTCCATCATGCCCTCCGCCATTACCCCTGGTCCACCCAGTCCAGCCTCACCCAGGCAGGTGTATCTAGTGCCAGGCCCCGTCTGTCTCATGTTTCTTTTGCAGCCTTTTCATTGGCCGTGTGTCTGGTAAACCCATTTAGAACTACATGCTTCATTTGGAGCTAACACCTTACCCCAGGGTCAGTAAGGCCCCAGGAAAGAAGCCATGGAGAGCAAGACCCCTTTGGGGACCTAGCGATGACTGACACCTAGGACTAGGGCCCCACAGCGCACATGGATAACCGGGAGCAAGGTTGGTTCAGAAAGGAGTTAGAGAAAAGTGGCTTCATTTATAAGGGACTGAGGTGGCCTGATGGTCACTATACAATTTGGAAAGGGAGGAGATTCTTGTTAAGTCTCTTGGCTGTTTCTCTGAGACTCCTGGCCAAGACAGGAAATGTAAACTTAACGTGGAAAAGGTCAGAAGAAAAGGAAGGATGGATTAGCTCATTGCCATTGGCTAATGGGTTTACAGGTTTCCATTCACCCCATGCTCAGGATTCCTGACTTGCAACTCTTCTAAGGAGCTCTTCCTATGAGCCCCGAGCAGGCCGGCTCTCCAGTGCGTCCTGTCTGCCCACAGCCTGCCCAGAGAGAAACCTTTATGTATTCAGAAACCTAAACAGCTCTGCAATGCAATAGGTGCCTGACTAATCTTATTTTGGTGTGCTCTGGAGGTAGAAATAACATATAAGAATAAAAAATTGGAGTCCACATGAAAAACAGAAAATATTAAACAGTGCTAACACGATCTCAGCATTTCTTTCCTCTGCTAAAGAGAAGAAATTCCCGAGGCAAGGGCTCCATCTTCGTCGCATTGAATGTTTTTCAATTGCTCCTGGAAAGAACTTGCTCCCAGGAGCACTCTCATCCTCCGGGAATTTGCCTTGATGGTGCACCTGCACTGCTACTCACCGTTAACGGTCGTGATCCGCCACACAATTGGCAGTTTTACACTTTCATCCTCCAGTGAAAACGTGTAGGGGCCAGTGTATCTATCACTGTCCTGTGCTCTCGCGGAGACAACCACGGAAGGCGATGAGCTGCAGATCATTTCCTTTTCCAGGACAGTTGTTGGACAATTTTCATTAAAACCAGGCACTTCAACATAGATGGTGCCTGTAGATGTCTTACCCGTGTTTTCTGTAAGAATGGCATGTTAGAGTTAAAAAGATACACAGAACAAGCAGGCTAGAAGAGTCAATATGGGGAGAGAGAGGACATACGCAATACTTTCAACAATAAAGATGAAAAAATATAAACAGCCCTGACTGGTTTGGCTCAGTGGATAGAGCGTCGGCCTGTGGACTGAAGGGTCCCAGGTTCGATTCCAGTTAAGGGCATGTACCTTGGTTGCGGGCACATCCCCAGTAGGAGGTGTGCAGGTGGCAGCTGATCGATGTTTCTCTCTCATCGATGTTTCTAATTCTCTATCCCTCTCCCTTCCTCTCTGTAAAAAAATCAATAAAATATATTTAAAAAATATAAACAAACAAAAATGAACCTTTTAAGTGTTTCCTGCATGCAGCCAAGTTAGTGTGACTTCTCATGAAAGATTATATTTGTTATTCTTACAAGTAAAAATGACCTACAATCTCCACATCTTGTAAAAAGAAAATTTAACTTGGCTGGCATCTGATTCTGTAGCATTGGCTATTAATTTAATATACTTGGGACCAAGACCTGTAAGGTGATGAATTCACTGACTGCTAATGAAATCAACAGAAAAATAATAGTTTTCTTAAATGTATCCTACTCCATGATCCCGGCACTGTGTGAAAGATTTTTACTTCTAAAGCTTGGGCCAAAGTATTTGGAATAATAAATGATTTATTTTTGTTACCTAAGATATAAAAGATTATTGAAAAAAAATTTAAATATGTTAACAATCAAAAACATTAAATGAAATCTAGCAGTGGCAGGATTGAATCTTTCTGTATTTTTTCCCTTCGTGCTTTTTGCTGTTTTCTCAGATGATGTGAATTTTGGTGTTTATTCTTTTGTTTTAACTTTATGTTTGCTTATTGCCTTGAGTATAAGCTAATTTTATACTTGTGGACACACACATACAAGGTTAATGAATAGTATTTTTAAAACATTCCAGAAGATTTTATTGTTTAATGACATAAGCACATGAGGTCTTCATAAGGAGCTCATTGTATGAGTAACTCACAAAGGCACCTCCCACTGGAGCTGAGCTTCCCTTGTAGGCATTCAGCATCAATCTTTATCCATCCTTCTCAAAACCAGAAACTCCGGTGGGTCTAAAAATCCCTGTCCCAACCACAAGCAAACCACAGGACTGAACCCAGAATTCACTTGGTGCTACAAAGGCCACTGAGATGTTGGAATGCTAGCCTTCTAGCTTCAGCTGCCTCGGACTTGAGACCCAAGGCCCTACGATCATTGATCTAGTGTTGAAGGGAATCTGTTCAAGAATCATAATCATCTATTCATAACTAAATGCAATTGGAGGAACATTTCTCTAAATACGATTGAAACATTTTTCTTACCATCGATGGCTAGAACCTCTGCTATGATTGTTCTGTTAAATATGAAAGTAGAATCCCGAACCATGTTTCTGGCAAATTTGATTTGAGCCGTTTTTGAGTCAATAATTAGAAAACCACCATCATTCCGTCCGAGGGCATATCTGTTTTATAATAGAAAAAGGTAATAGTTTTCTTTCAAATATGGAATGTTACCTACTTAATGACAATGACCCATTTATATTTAATGTATTTATATTGAGTATAAGACATTGAAATATGCTTTTCTGAGAAGCAGCAGAGAATTAACAAATTAGCATGGAAAAACAGTATTTTATAACCCTAAAGGTGTGTTCATCTGGGTTTTTCTAATTTATGCTCAGTGCAATAACCTGTGTTCTTACTCTTCACACTACAGTAACTGTTTTTGCACGTGCTCTTAGATTTTAGGCGTATGTGTCTTTGTAGATACTGTTCCGTCTTATTGCACCACAGCCTTCTGGTGAACTTCTGCTCTTTAAGACTCAATTGAAAGTTTCCATGAACCATTGTCCTGACCTCTGTAGGCAGGCTGAAGCATTTTTCTTTTAGTTTCCACTTTAACTTATGCTTATGTTATCTTTGCTCATAATACAATATCATCTAATGATTCCACTACTTATCTCTTCTCCAGTTAGCAGCTCATTGAGTTGGCCACCTTTGTATATCTTTGTATTCTTGCCATATAATAGTTTGGGTTTTATTTATTTATTTTAACTCAGCTCAGTGAGTTGGCCACCTTTGTATATCTTTGTATTCTTGCCATATAATAGTTTGGGTTTTATTTATTTATTTTAACACTGGGGATGGAGCCTGAAACCAGGGCATGTGCCCTGAGTGGGAATTGAACTGTGACCTCGTGGTTCATAGGTTGGTGCTCAACTACTGAGCCACACTGGCTGGGTGTAATAATTTATAGATTAATACTAAGTCAAGGAATAATACAATGTTATTGAAGTAATCATACCTGACATTTGAAGCAGGTTTGCCAGTGTCTTCATCAATGGCTGCATACGTTCCGAGGATGTAATTGATCAACTTTTTCCTACTTATGCCTTTCTGGACAGTAAACGTCTTGGAAGCAGGGCGGAATGCAATTCCTTCTCGCACATTTATAACTTGAACTTTGACTTGGGTTGACTGGACTCGATATTGAGAGATTACAGATTGGTGAAATTCAGCTTTGTTTTTGACGGCGATACTAAATTGTGCATTTTGTAGTTGTTCATAATCTAGAGGCTGGAGTAAAAATAAAATGAGAAAAAAAGAAGTGTCAAAGAAATACGGTTTGGCAAACCCACAAGAGGACAAGAGAACTCTATCTTATATGCTATGAATGGATCCTTCTATTTCTATGAATAAAAACAGATCTAGCAAAATCGTTTCAGAGAGCATTGTAATGTTGAGACAGAGAAACCTTTGGAATTCTTAACTCATGTAACCTCAGTGCAATGATACTCACAAAGTAGGGTACTAGCAAACGTCATTTTAGGCAACGGGGTGCAGAGGAAAGAACCCAAACGTGCTATGGCAGCCTGGTTTGAATCCCGGTTCTGCTACTTACAATCCGTGCGACTCAGGGAACAGTATTTCATATCTCTGATCCTCAACTTCCCACTTCTGAAAAAAAATCCCACCCTAGCTGAATTGGCTCAGTGGAAAGAGCATCTGCCCGCAGACCAAAGGGTCCTGGGTTCGATCCCAGTCAAGGGCACGTACCTTGGTTGCAGGCTCCTTGAGCCTTGGCCCTGATCGGAGGCAACCAATCTGTGTGTCAATGTGTGTCTCTCACATCAATGTTTCTCTGTCTTTCCCTCTCTTTTCCACTCTCCCTAAAAATCAATGGAAAAATATCCTTGGGTGAGGATTAATAAAAACAAAAGAAAACAAACAAACAAAACTAACAAAAACAAATCCCTCACCTTGTCAGATTGTGAGGACTGAGCAAACGATCGGAGGCAACCAATCTGTGTGTCGATGTGTGTCTCTCACATCAATGTTTCTCTGTCTTTCCCTCTCTTTTCCACTCTCCCTAAAAATCAATGGAAAAATATCCTTGGGTGAGGATTAATAAAAACAAAAGAAAACAAACAAACAAAACTAACAAAAACAAATCCCTCACCTTGTCAGATTGTGAGGACTGAGCAAACTGAGGCCCATAATACATTCCTCTGAATGGCAGCTCTGGTCACTCACAGAACAGTCACTGGATTCATGTGCAATGATGTCTTTTCTGATTAAAAAAATTCATAGGTGGCCAAGGCAAACTGTCTTTATAAACTTGGTTGGCAAAGAGGCCTCTGTAAAGCAGTACGTGGGTGGCTTTTTATAGACCCATTTGCAGATGGTCTTGCATGAGAACGATTTGACCTTCCTATGGAGCTGGCCCAGGCCCAGGCCTGAGGAACCCTAGGAGAGCCTTCATAGTAAATTTTTTGAGGGTGATGAGATCAGGACATGCTCATTTTAGTTACATTTGTGTATTCATGGAAATAATTATAGTAAGGGATCTGGATTTGAGTGTTAACTTTGCAATGACTGCCAAGCATGTTAAAGGGTTACTTTACTCACCCATTTCTCATCTTGCAGCTTTAGTTATACGTTCCTATTTTCTAGAAAAACTTGCCTCTTTTCCTCCTTGACTAGCTAATCCACTTAAAATAAATGGACAGATTCAAAAGCCACAATTCCATGTGTGTGTTTGTATCTCTTCTTAACTTCAGTTGCAGAGGGAGGATGAGATTAAGTCAAGAAATGTGTTCTACTTTCTTGTGCTTAAATCAAGCGTGTGTGTGTGTGTGTGTGTGTGTGTGTGTGTGTGTGTGTTTACTACAGACAGTATGTTGTTTTGGAAGGAAATAAATCAACATGTTAAAAAGGCTGTCTTTAGGTAATGGGGCTATATGTGTGTGTCTTTAAAAAAAATTCGACCTACTTTTATGTGTTTTCTAGAAGGAAGTGGTATGATTAATAAGTGCATAAAGTTTACTTGTAGAAATGATAGTTTTGGCTAATAGAGAATATATTTGCCACCAAAGGGAAGTGAGACCTTACCTTAACCACCTTCAGGATGCCTTCGTTAGTCCTGGCATCAGTTTGTATTTCAAACCAATTCCCTTCGTTGCCAGAGGTAAAGAAATACTCTGCCAGCCAATTATCTGTGAACTCTTCGTCCAAATCTATTACTTGAAATCGAAGTAACTCAGAACTCAAAGTGTTTTCCTCAATACGCACTGAATACTAAGGAGAGAAGCAGAATTTAAGATTCAATGTCAGGTTCTATCGAAGGGGATTATGTTTATTCTGAATGGCATTAATCATGAATTCTCAGATTATGTATTGCCTCCTTGTCAGTTACTGAATTCTTATATTTTACAAAAGCTATTTTTTTAGGGAAAAGTGCGGAGAACCTAAATAGAAGCCAGCGAGCAGACACATGCTGAATTAGGGTGGCAACGTATATAATAATAAATATATATAAAAATTATTCTTGAGGGAGTGAAGGGTGTACCTGAGATTCTTTGAACATTGGGAAGTTGTCATTGACATCCTTCACTTTGATGCTGCTTTCACACTGGCTTGATAATCCTTCTCCATCTCGGTCTGCGCCACTCACAATCAGACGGTAGCTGCTCACTTGCTACATTTAGAGTCAAGAAAGAAAATTAATTAACTCTAGTGCCAAGAATATGAGTGACAACTACTTGCTGCCTATGAGTAGGGAGGGAACATATTCCAGCTCATGATTTATTGGAGCTCGTGCACTGTGTGCTGTCCATCATCGAGGGTGTGTGTGGGGCTCTCGAAGTCGTTAAGAGGCTAGAACAGATTTTCTCTTTTGTGGGCTGCTTAGGGCAAGAAAGGACACTTAGAACAAACGTGGGCAGTGATGATGGTGGGATGCTATGCGAGGGAAGCTCACTTACAGAGGTTTTTTTTCCCTGTCGGTCTGTTCAGAAAATCATCTGCATAAAAGTTATATGGAATACGATGGGGTAGTGTGTGGTGGTGGTGGTGTGGTGGTAGGATGATGGGGGAGAGAGAGGAAGGAGATTCTTTAGTGTTCTGGAAGCAGGGGTAACATTAAAAGAAGTCAAGAGAAAAAGTGTGCCATCAGAGAAGGCTGTTTTCCAGATAGACATTTTGTGCTTCATCTGTGAAATACCCTTTCCCTCCATCATATGAGGAATTAATCGCAGTTGGTCCTTGTCCATGAATGGCAATGCCCTCTTCCACTGTAGCGCCCACTGGTGCACTCACTTGTTTACTGAGGGTGTGATCGATTGTGCAGGTGCCAGGGCCCCCCACCCCCTGGAATCACATTAGAAGGCAGACCGTTTCCCTAGATTGGCCCTGTTGAGTACTGGGAACCTCTTTTCCTCTCTCTTTTCATTCTCTGGCAAAACGGAATCACTTCTTTCTGGCTTTCTTAAATAAAATCCTTTATTTTAATGGCTCCCAAGTGCCTTGCTTTACCTCTCGATCAAGAGAACTGGTCAAAGTGCGGACTTCCCCGCTGTGTCTGCTCATGAGGAACATGGGGATGCCTGCGGGCTCCTGGGAGACGATTTTGAAGGCGATTTTAGAGTTCAGATGGTTTGGCTCATCTGCGTCCGTGGCGTTCAGTATCATCACCAGAGAGTCTGGGAAGGAGAAGTTCATTAAAGAATATGGAGCCGTTGATGTTCTGTTCACACTAATGACTCAACACAATTTCAAATCAGTATTTGTTTTTTTAAGATCTTATACCTGTATGTATGCTAACAAAATATGACATGTCACTTGCTGTCTGTCTTCATCAGGTAGAACTGTACTGCCTTCCCTAAAACCCCCCAGTTCCCCTTAGGCCTTGGCTGTGTGGGGTTGAGAGGCTTTTCTGTCTTCCCTTGGTGGATGGCTTTATGATTCTCTTTTCCCCAAATTATTCAAGCGACGTGAGAGTGTCTCATGCCTTATAATCTCAAAAAGCCCTGCTGGTGCATCCCGGCTACCTAAGGCCCCGCTTTAGCTTTGTGACTGCTGGGTGCCCATGCGACTTGTACGCACAGAATAAGATACGATTGGCCTCATAACAGAGCCGCACCTAGAAGTACAAAGGCAATGAATTATTAGCTCAACTGCAAATATCAGAAAGAAGATTTAGCTTATCTCTATGAGTTTTTCTGGAAAACTGATGAAACTAAGAATAAATTAGCTTATAAAAATGATATGCTATTGTGATACTTGTATTGAAAATTTTTTAAAAAATCAGCAGTGGTAGGTACTGTAAAAAGACTTACTTGCAGGACTATTTTCTTCAATTTCACCCATGAATACACTTTGTGAAAACACTGGAGGGTTGTCATTGATGTCTAAAATTTTGACCGTTAATATAAGTGGTTTCTCTACCTCTTGTCCTAAGGCATTTAGCGCATGACATGTGATCTAGAAATAAAAGGGAAAATGTTAATTCTCACTCAACAAGCTTAATTTGCATACTAGGAGCTTGCCCTGGCATGGATAGAACTTTCATGCAAAGGAGAAAAATATTTCCCCAAAGAGTAGACAAAGGAAGAAAAGGTACCCGTCTGGGCAGACCCGTCGGGCTAGTTGCCCTTTCTCCGGACTGCTACTGACTCATGGCAGGGCGGAGCTCTTGGCAGGCTGCGTCTGGAGTTTGGCAGTCATGCCCCTCCTGGCATGTTCCTTCAGGGGCATGACCATGAGTGGAGGCTCTTTGTCAAGGGACTAATGTTGTTATTTGTTGGTAGATTGATTTATGCACTGATATCTCCTCTCAATTAACCAGTACAAGAGTATCATCTTCTAGCTATGATACATGAGGGGAAAAGGGCGCCCCATGTTGAAAACACTACTTACGTGGAAATTTGGGGTTTGCTCACGATCAACTATGGCTGTTATGTTAATATCTCCAGTATTTCTGTCAACAACAAAGATTCCCAAAGGGGGCTGATCAATTCCGATTCCAGTAATGCGGTAGGTAATTTTCTGTTTTGCATGGAAATCTGAACTAATCTGCAGCAAAAAATACCCAAAGCGTTAAATACTAATACAAAGTGTTAATCAGGCTTTTTCCTTCCCCCCTTTTCTCCTCTGCTATAGTCTTCAGTCATCTGTTCGTTTTACTCACCCTTTCTGACACTGTGCTGTTTATTTATTACCTAAATATATACTAGAAATATGACATAAATCGTTGCTTCTGTTGACCGGTATGGACCAAAATGCATTAATCATTTTGGCTTTAGAACATTTGCTTAGATTGTGGCCACCATGGTGATGTTCAAAGATTGAGATAAAGTCAGAGAGGCTACTTCTGAATGTTCCTTTCTTAACAGTTAACATTTGTAAAAGCCATTTATTTTAGCTTAAATAGGGAGAGCTGGAGAGAAAAAAGGGAAAGGGATTACATAGTAAGTATTAAAATGTATTGCTTTTTATTATTCTAATTTTAAAGCTTTTTGTGTGGAAAAGTTTAAAGATATATAAAGTTAGAATAGTGTAATGAACCTGATATATTTTATCATCCAGCACCAACGATTAAGAATACATGGCCAATTCAATGTTGGCTCCCAGCCATTTTTAAAATTGTCTTATCCACATATTTTTTTCTATTGGCTAGAATCTGGATCTAAATAAGGCTTATCCATTGAAATAGGTCCAAGTGTCTTTTAATTATTTTTTTATTAGTCTACAGACCATAGTTCCTTCATCTTTGTCTATCTCTATTATTATTATTATTATTGATTTCTTTTTGGTTGTAGATATCAGGTTACTTGTTCTGTGGGCGGCCCAGTCTGCATTTTGCTAACTGGAACTGCCCTATTACTTTAATTTCCATCCAATCCATTTGTTCTGAAAACTCGCACTGCCCTGCTCAGGTGACTTACTTGGGCAATGGGGTTTCTTTTGGAGTTGTCTTCCTCTTCTCTGCAGGGTCTTGCAAATTTCACCCATTCACGTTTATGTCTCCTTCTGCCTTGCACCGCGGTCCCATTTTCTCCAGGCTGCCCTTTCGTCTTACGGGAAAAGGGGTTCCGTTTAGTATGCACACGTGGGACATTTTCACTTTGGGAATTGCTTACATAGACACATAGGTTGAGGAGCCCCCTATGTTTCAGGATATCTAAGGCTGTTGGATGTCTACGTTGCTCTCAGACTTTGTCAAAGAAGAAACATTAAATAACTCAAAGAGTTACAAAGCTTTTTGCAATGTGACTTTTAAGGCAGCTTTTAATCATATTTTGTATTTTCTCCATTTATTCCACAATATCTTAACTATTCTGGGCACACAGGCCCTGTTTCATTAGAACCTGTTGATTTAATATAAGAAGAAACAATGCCTGAGATAAATTACATTAATAACACTTACACATTGCTGGTATTTAAGTATTATTGGACTAATTGTTAGAATTTTCACAATTTAATTGTTAAATAATTTAAAACATTTAATATTTGTTTGCCTGAACTGTTATTTTAATTACAAAAAGCTTTTCATACTTTACCTCTATTCTCATTTCTCCATGAACCAATAGGACCACCTGTAGACATTTAAATAAAGTAAAATTAAATATGAATTTTTCAAATAAGTACTAACTACTTAAGATAATAATCCCGATATTTACATTCTGCTGTTCATATTATAGTTTGTTTCTATTTTTTAAAAAAAGTAGATGTCGATTCAAAGGATAAAATCTTCTCAGGAAAAAGAAAATGTTCTAAATATAAACAAATTCTCTTTACTCTGAATACAGAATTTTAAAGATATACAGAAAAATCTATTGGATTTTGAAAAACTCTTTTTAACAGCCAGTTATAGTAACCAGACATTTCGAATCTGGCTGTCCTATAAATACTTCCCAGGAGATGTAGAAATTGTTGCTTTGACAAACAATGGCAATCATCATTGTGATAAACTCATCAAGTTCCCTGGGCGATTTTTAAAAGCCATGACTTATGCAACTGACTGGTACCAAGGCAATTCTGTATTAGCTGCAGGGTAAGGCTTTTTTTTAGTTGTTCATGAGTGGACATAATGAAAGGAACTCGTCTGGGTTAGAGAATGGAACATAGAAGTTGGGGTTAGGCTATTCTAAACACAAGAACTGCTTGCTGTGGCACACAGACCTGCTCATCTCTGCCCTACTCCATTTAAATATTGAGCTTAATTTTCTTACTCATCTGAAATAAATGACGATAAAACATGAAGGCAGGCAGGCTAGGGTCTTTACTTCTCAAGAGCACTGGGGACTTTCATCTCTGTCTTTTCCCGTCTTGTTTTCTGCTTAGAACACATCCTTCTTCCCCTTTCACCCCCTTAAGTATTACTCATCCTTTAAGATCAATTCAGATTCCAACAGCATCCATGAAGCTGTTTTTACCGAGGTCTCCTTTCTGGGCATGTGCAACCCTTGTTCTGAACTATGCAATTTAGTCCGGAATGGTTTGCCTGGATTTATTATTTCTTAATCGTTTTATGTACATTGTGGTGCTAACTCAAGAGAACTGTAAATTTGCCCGATCAGTGCTTCTACATTATTATTATTATTTGCAACCCTTACAATATCCGTTCCTCCGTAGATGTTTCACAACTATTTGCTAATCCACTGATCATGTGATCTGAAGGAAATCTGGTAGGGGAAAGATCGTGAAAAATAAATCAGAAGAAAAAATGAAAGTAATAATAGTAGTTAGCATTTATTATGGTTTTGTGTCAGTTGCTATGCATAGAGCTTAATATTTATTATCCTAATACTTGGAGCAGCCGTCGCAGTGAGCTTCTGTTATTGTGATTCCTTTTTTTTTGTGGATATAGAAATGGAGACACGAGAGAGGGAGCACGTGGCTCCAGCTAACAGACCTCCTAGAGCCAGGATTTGAACCATGGCAGCCTGACTCCGAAGTGTGTATGTCACCACAACAGTGGATTCTAGCCAAAGAAGGCATAAATAGATAAATAAAAACCAGTAGTAGAGAGAAAGTTTTATACTAGTCAATTTAGATCTTTTTCCTGGCAAAGACTGGGGGTTACTCCTGAAATGATATAGATTTATTACATTGTTTATTTGGGGAGATTATCATAAAGAGGTAAGTCCGAGTCTGAACCAAAGCAGTAACTCTATCAGACATAGGATGCCAGGACCTTCCCATTCTAAATATTTCATTGAAATCTTTATTTCCAAGGGTGTGTGTTCAAATAGCCATGAAAAGAGCCATTGCATATTGTGATAACAGGTCTCAACGTGATGGTATAGCTTTGCTGCTCTTTACTGAACACTCTCAGGAGTTACGTGGGAGAGCAGACCAGACCAATGTGGGAATTGCACTGCCCCTGACTCAGGGAGGAAGGCCAGGCACGCTCCCCTTCACAGGGAAACGGGGAAGAGTCATCCAGAAAATATGCGTCATGTTCGCACTAGCCCCACAGAGAATGGTTCTTCTAAGAGCCACTGAAGTACAGTTCTGTTTTCTTGGGACAGCATAGGAAGGACAACCCTAAACTATGGAGAATGAACATTGACGACAGCTGTGTCTTAGTCTTTTCACAGAATGACAGTCCTTAGAGAAGTTACTTAGGCTAAATCTTTACTCTTGCTCATCTCTTAAACTCAAGAATGTTTCCTAATTCTAGGGTGTATTATGAAATGTGATTATTTTTGCTCTTCTAGGAATAGGGGTAGCTAATAAGAAACACTTCTAAATTTTGAAAATGCTCATTAGACATTTGGAAATATAATTGTAGCCTTACATTATTTAGAATTGTGTTTTTAAAAACTTAATTATTTTAGTTAATACATGTCTGTGGCTACTTGATTATTTGAGTGAATTTGCTAATCTAATTATTTCCAACATTTAATAAATATTTCAGTAGTTTCCTGACAATATAAACCAACTAAGTTTTCTCTTTTGGTGACCTGGACTGGACATATCAGTGTGGAGAAAGTACTTCTTGTCTTGAGAGTTCAATCGGGGTTGGGGAGGGATGCGGGAGGTTGACCAGCTGGGGAGAGACCATGGGAGGGCTCCAGGACATGTCTGGCCCATCTCGCTCAGTCCCGATTGGCTGGACCCCAGTAGCAAGTTAACCTACTGGTTGGAGCGTCTGCCCCCTAGTGGTCAGTGCACATCATAGTGAGTGGTTGAGCGGCCTTAGCATATCATTAGCATATTACGCTTTGATTGGTTGAATGGCCGACCAGACAACTGGACACTTAGCATATTAGGCTTTTATTATATAGGATCATAAAGGTTTGTACTGTATATGGTAGATACACAATAAATACATTTTGAGGATATTTTCATAACAACTGCTACTTTACTTGTTTGGCTATCATTTTATTTGGAGTTACTTCAAGCGTTCGTGTGGGAGGGATAGACAGTTGGACTATGCATTAGATTCATGGAGCTGCTCCCAGCTGGCCTGGGGTATAGCAACCCTTCTCATCTCTAGAATGGGTTTAAGAAAGGGCCTCATCCACTCCCCTCTGGGAAATTTGAAGATGAATTAGGTAATTCAAAGAAATCATTTCAATTTTTAAACATGTTTTGTATTTAATTATTTGTGGGGAAAAAGTCATTATATATATGTTGGTGATCTCATTTCTATAATTGGTCATATGCAGTGATTATTAATGTGTCAGGCCATAGAGGTCATCAGTAATGTTTGATGAATAAATTACATATGTATAATTCAGAAGACATGAGTGATTTATCTTTCATCATCTCCTATCTATCCTTTTTAAAATTGAAATTTAACCCCCCCTTAAAAGTTCTAATAAACTTTGTATTCATCAAGTCAAATTTCTTACTTGAACAAAAATGACATGTTTATTTCCTTGGAAATTCTTATTTAATTTTAGACAATTAAATTTCAGTAACTGAGTTTTAGAGTACATTCAATTAATTTAGAAAGTTAAACCTTGTATTGTGATAGAGATGCTAATTAAAACAAATACCATGGATATTCTCAGATGCTCATTTTAAATGCTGCATAAGTTGCAGTCAAGTATAGTAATAAAAAAATTGGACCCTGGATCCTGAATCCCTGAGTTAAGTCCCAGTCTCAATGGACCAGTTGTATAACTTGGAAACATTACTTAATTTTTCAGTTTCCTCATCTGTAAAATAGGGACAACATTTCTACTTACTTCGTAGGTTTCTTGTGAGGATTCAATGAATCCATAGGTGTAAAGCGCATAGATGAGCCCTAGCTCACTAGGACTTATGTGCTTAATACATGTTAATCACTTCTGTCCTCAAACTTAAAAAAAAAAAGGTATAAAAGAGCCCCTTGGACATGAAGTGCCCTCTTATTATTACTATCCACACCAAGGCACATAGAACTTTCCCTTTTTTGAGCATTGGAAAGCGACAAGAACCGGTTCTCCTTCGTCCAGTTGTGTAGCTCGTTCCTTGCCCAACTCCAGGGGGACTATTGACACTGGAGTTGAGGCGAATGCCCTGCACAGCCTGGCCAGCTGCACACGTGAGGCAGCTGGGCACCTTAGACAGATTCAGTTATTCACAGTGTCTTAGAGCTAGTCACCAGGTACCTGTACATAGGGGGTCCCCCCAAAGGGTATACGCACACTTTCAATAATTATGAAGGCAGTGTTTAGTAAAATGCACTTCATTTTCAAAGTTGAGCTATCAGCTGGTAAAGTGCATACATTCCTGGGGACACCCTGTACTTCTCTTGTGATGAACTTCGCACAGCAAGCCCTCACCTGGCCATCAGGGTGACTCCTGACTGGCGAGGAAGAGCGAGAGGCTGGAGGTTAGGAACAGCCTGCTGGGAACTGAGCGTTCGGTTCCAAAGGAAAGGAGTTTCAGGTGTTAGGTAAGCGGGAGTGGTGACTGACAGAAGTAATTGCATCTCTCCCGCCTTCCGCTCAAGTCGGGCGGGGTTGCCAGAATTGCCTGGCAAGGTTATTCTGATTTTGGCTCTTAACCGGAAGAGAGGACCAGCGGGCAACTAATTTTCATACATCTATTAGCATTGGAAATCAGATTGTTTCATCAGTCACGAGAGGAAGAGATACCTCAAAGATTTTCCTTCTGTTAAAGATTTGGACCATTTAGCCTACAATTTTTTCCTAAAATTTTTCTCTTTGGATATTCTGTAGAAGAAGGTGATTGGAGGTCATTTCTCTGTATTTGGACCGCATTCTATCAGAACTTGATATTTAAATGACTTCTCTCGCTTTTTTCCAGCCCTACCTCTACTAACTTTAAACACTGTGCTCTGGAAATATCTGCATTTCAGACACCTCTATTTGTTTTGTGATGAGTAAACTTTATATAATATAGAAACATAAAATTAAAACACTCATTGTCCAGATGGTAACAGGAGTGTTATGTTTTGTGGACTATCAAACACTGAGCAATGTGCACTTTGGAGACAAATGTTTTAAAAAAGTTAAATCTCTGAAGAAAAGCATTTTTCAATCATAAAGCCTTTCCCCAAAATGCATATTTTGTATTGTGCAAAATGGATCAAACAGGCACAGGAAACTGCTAAATAAGGCAGAATATTAAGGCAGGCGTTATCAAGAGTCATCTTAATTACTAAAGTATTGCAACTGATAGGCATTCGCGTCTTAGAAAGCACTTGGCATTTTCCGAGCACTTCCTTGCGCTGTTTTACTCTCACTCTGGCCATTTTAGTGTAGGCAGGGGGCTCTGATCCTTCTTACTTGACAGTGGAGGAAACAAGGGCTGGAGTGAGTCAGCAGAGCAGGCGTAGACAGAGGACTGTGACTTTGCTGTTCTGTCTTGCCTCTCTAGGCAACCCTGGTGTGGTCATAGGATGGCGGAATTAGTGCAGAACCTCAAACATGTTTTCCAACTTTCAGACCCACCCTTCTACAACAAAAGATGTGCGTCCCCACTAGACAATGCTTGGAAAAACATTGCTTTTTTCCCATCACCACACTGTTTCGAAACTGGGTGGTGCCCCACTTCTGAAAGGTTTCCATTAGCTTTCACAGAACATACTTTTCAATATGACCCTCACCTGCTTTTCCAACTCATGTCCAGACTCCCCAGTGCAAACTGTCATTCCGGCCAAACCAGTGTGTCCATTGTCCTCAGGCACATGTCATATTGCATCTGCCTTTGCTCACATTGATTTGACAAGGGAAGGTCCCCTCCCTTGGTCCACCTATGAAACCTTACCTGGTCCCTGGAGCCTCGTTTGCCTGCCTCACTCCTGACTGACACTGCCTTCCACTAATAGCATCAGTTACCAGCATTGTCCAGGGAAAGTGTAATGAGAACCCCACGAATAATTTCAAATGTCCTAATAGTTATATTAAAAAGGATTTAAAAAGGTAAAATTAATTTTAACATACGTCTTATCAAAAATATCCGAAATACTACCATGTCAATATGTAAGCAATGTTATTAATGACATGTTTTCCATTCCTTTTTCATACTAAATCCTTAAAATATGATGCATATTTTACACCTAACATCTCAATTCGACCAATCTCATTTCAAGTGGTTAGTAGCCCATGTGGCTAGAGGCTACCATTTGGATAGAGCAGTTCTAGACCACTCAGCTTAACAATTATGTATAAAGTTATATTGCTGTTTAAATAGCTTGTGTGTGGAGGTGTGTAACATTTTCTTGGGGGGAGAGAAATGTTTTAACATTTCATAGTGCATTTTAGAGTCTGTGCACGCACGCGCGCGTGTGTGTGTGTGTGTGTGAAGTTATAGTTTAGAGAGGCCTTATAAAGTTATTCATTTATTCATTCTTCAAACAATTGAGTGTCCACTGTAAGACAGATATTATGGGTAGACATTGGAGATAAAAAAAATGAATGAAACAGCCCTCAGTATAAGGATCTCACAGTAACTAGAGGAACAGAGGAATGATAGAGGATCTACCTCAAAGCAGGAAAGAGCTCTCTAAGCTTGTGGGGGTCCAATTCTGTGTCCTTATGACAACACTATTCTGACTCACGCTCCTCTTATCTCCTAGCTTCCCAAATTGGTCACCCATTCCCGAGTGGGTTATTAGGCTACCTGTGGTTTAGTCTAGAAATGACCATCTGAAAGGTGGGAAGTCATACAACTGTCACATCTATAATAATAAAAGCGTAATATGCTAATTAGACCCAACAGCCAAACGACCTTCTGGACGTCATTCTGGATGTCCTTCTGGATGAAGCTGTGGCGGAGGGAGCCTAGGCAGAGGCAGTTAGGGGCGATCAGGCAGGCAGGCAAGCAGTTAGGGGTGATTAGGCAGGCAGGAAGAACGGTTCGGGGTGATCAGGCATGGGAGTAGTTAGGAGTGATCAGGCAGGTGAGCAATTAGGAGCCAGTGGTCTCAGATTACGAGAAGGATGTCTGACTATCCCATAGGGATTGCACCTAAACCAGCAGTCAGATATCCCCTGAGGTGTCCCGGATTGCGAGAGGGTGCAGGCTGGGCTGAGGGACACCCCTCCCTCCACATGAATTTTGTGCACCGGGCCTCTAGTTTCTCTATAATATTCTTAGGTCAAATAAATACATTAGATAACCAGAACAATTACAGTTCACCCTTGAACACTATGGGAATTTTTTTCAATAAATACTGTAAATGTATTTTCTCTTCCTTATGATTTTCTTTTTTTAAAAAAATATATTTTATTGATTTTTTACAGAGAGGAAGGGAGAGGGATAGAGAGTTAGAAACATCGATCAGCTGCCTCCTGCACACTCCCCACTGGGCATGTGTCCGCAACCAAGGTACATGCCCTTGACTGGAATCGAACCTGGGACCCTTGAATCCGCAGGCCGATGCTCTATCCATTGAGCCAAACCGGTTAGGGCCCTTATGATTTTCTTAATAACATTTTCTTTTCTGTAGTTTACTTTATTATAAAAATATGGTGTATTTATACATATCATATGAAATATGTGTTAATTGAATGTTTATATTATTGGTAGAGAGGAGTCAAAAGTTATACAAAAAGTTTTACTGCATGGGGGTCAATGTCACCCTAATCCAGTGGTCAGCAAACTCATTAGTCAACAGAGCCAAATATCAACAGTACAACGATTGAAATTTCTTTTGAGAGCCAAATTTTTTAAACTTAAACTATACAGGTAGGTACATTGTTATTAACTTAATTAGGGTACTCCTAAGGCTTAGGAAGAGCCACAATCAAGGGGCCAAAAAGCCGCATGTGGCTCGCGAGCCGCAGTTTGCCGACCACGGCCCTAATCCATTGCCATGTTGTTTAAGGGTCAGTTGTAGCTACTTTGTCATAATAGAAACGACCCTAACAAAAAACAAGCCAATTTTCTAGAGCAGCCTCATGAGAGCGAAGGCTGGGAATCTCCCTGGCTCACAAGGCAGCCGTTCTAATTTTGGACACATTTACAGTTTAGAAAGTTCCTCCTTGAGATCTATCTCCCTGTCACTTCTTAAAGTCCAATGATCTCAATGTTACAGATGGAGAGGCAAGCACAACTGATGCCCGGACTAGCCCAGTTTATTATCGATAAAGTGGGGAATTATCATTAGGAATGTTTAAAAATGTTCACGTGTGGTATATTTCACTATTTTGCTATCTTCATGTAACTGAGAATATTGTGACTTTTTTTCTTCACTAGAATAGCACCGTTAGGAACAAGCTGGTCTGTATCGCCCAGGCCACTGCTTTGCTCTGCAGATTCCACTTCTCTTTTAGTTAGAAAGAATCCCACCCAGCAGAGTGTCACTCTCTCCGGGAGTGTCTGATAAAATGTCCATGTGTTTTCCACCAAAGGCTGGATGTGTTTTGCACAGAATGACTAAGCAGACACGCTGTTTTCTTAATAACCCTCTCAGCTGCTCTCGAGTCAAACACTGCTTTGATTTTAATTCAACGGTCCTTGGCTATTGCAGAAACATGTCAGGTAGCAAGACCGGGCATGAGTGATTCAGAGCCATACGCTCAACAGATATGTAACCTTGGGAAACAGACCTGCTTCTCTTTAATGTGTTTTAGCTTGTGCATCAAAAAGACGAATAAAAACATGACTTTGAAGAAAGTGACGGTGTTGTGGAAAATACATCTGAGATCAGGGTTATTTGATTCATTAACTAAAGAAATGCTAAATGGCGACTTTCAAATTCATTTCTCCCTTATTTAGTTTTCTATGTAAAATATATGAAAAAAATAACAACCCCACAGCAAATGGGAGAAATGAGTAATCATTACAATTGCATATTAAAATGTTATTTTGACTGCACTCTTTTAGATTTTATAAGAGGGATTTGCAGTTTCATTTTAAAGTGTTTGTTTCCACTGTGCCTTCTTAGACTTTGTAATAGGGATTCAGCAATCAAATATGATACTCCCTTAGAGGAGAGAAAGAAACACAGAAAGCTACAGTTATTGGAAGGAAAAGGAAGACTTACCATGAAAATGGCGAGAGTCCCCGTGGTTCTGAAGAGGAGCCAAGTCATCGTGTTGAGTCCCCAGGCGAGCAGATCCTGGGAGTGTGCTCAGTCCGTCCACCCCCAGAGTCTGTGCCTCTCCAGGAGTCCGCGGCGGCCTGTTATGCGGTCCCTCCCCACCCCAACCCTAGGATTGGTCTCACCAGAAACGCTTGAATCACTCTTCTCCCAGGTGAAAACTTAGACACACCCCAATTCCTGAAGCGATGAGATCCTTTGTTGGAGGCTGAATGGGAAGGTACCAGGTGAATAAGAAGTTAATCACGGTGTGGGGTGCAGAGCGAGCCCTGACTGCGCCGGAAAGAATCCAGTTGGCTCTTCCAGGGCCACAGTGAAAGCTGAAGGCAAAACAAAACTCAGAATCCCCCCAAAGCTTGTCTTTTCAGGCTGAGTACATGGATAGACCTAAAGCTAAGCAAAATGTAGGTGTTAAGTAATAATAGATTGTATTGAAAATAACTACAAATCTGAAGAAGAAAACCACCACACACACAACTGTTAATGTAGGGTTTGAAGGAAAACAGCTAGAAATAAAATGGGAGTCCACAGTTACATGGTGCCTTGGACATTTGCGCTTTATAAATAAAGCATTTAAAGTCAGATCTCTGACAGGAATCAGATGGCATCTTTCCTGTTGTATTTCGGTTTTTTAAAAGGTAGGCAGCTGGTCAAGTAGGTTATATTTGTGCGCTTTTAATTACTCAAGGCCCTTCCCCCAGGGCAGCCTGCTCACTGCTACAGGCTGTGCGGTTCTAAACATCTGGTCTCCAACCTGCGTTAAGGACAGTGAAAAACTGCTGACACCACTTTAGTTTGCTTATAACATTAGAATTAAACCCTCCCCCCTTTTTATCCTCACCTGCGGAGTGGGGATTTTTTTCAGTGATTTTTAGAGAGAGTGGAAGGTGTAAAGAGACAGAGAGGGAGAAAGAGAGAGAGAGAAACATCAATGTGAGAGAGACACATTGATGGGTTACCTCCCGCACACACCCCAACTAGGGCAGGGATTGAATCTGCAACCCAGGTATGCGCCCTTTACTGGGAATTGAACCTGCAATGCTCCGGTGTGCAGGCTGACGGTCTAACCACTGAGCATGCTGGCCAAGACTAAAAACACTTTTTAAATATTCTTGGATATTTAAAGAAAGGTTTGGTGGAAGAGCAATTGTATCTTTATAAGTATTTATGGACCAGGTTTGGGAAACTTTTTAGTTTCAGGGGAGCCATTTGATCACAGATGGTTTTAGGCAGGAAGAATTTTGTGTACCAGCTGGAAAAGAACATCATGTAGGCAGAGTCTTGTGTTTTTCTTGTTTGTTTGTTTTTAATTGTGGTTAAATGTACATAACAAAATTTACTATTTTATCTGTACAGCTGAGTGCATTAAGTACACTCACATTGTTGTGCAACCATCATCATCATCTGTCTCCAGAAAAATCTCATTTTTGTAATAAGGTTTTTGTAGATAAAGTTTTATTGGAACACAGACATGGCCATTTGTTTATATATTATGTTGTGAATGGCTGCTTTTGTGGTGCAAGGGAAGGTTGAGCAGAGCTGAGTAGTGGGACAGGGACTGGATGGTCACACAGCCCAAACAATTTACTGCTAACGTATAGAATATGTTTGCTTTATTTATTTACTTTCAGAAAATGTTTGCTGCCCCCTGGTTGACACCATATACCTCTATAGTATCTGGGACAAATCTGATGGGGATTGACTGCAACAGAGGAATAACTAGTAAATATTTTAAATCTGCTTTCACTTGGTAAGGAAGTTTCTAAAGATCAGGTTTATTAATTTTTTTAGAGCTCCCTCTAAATTCCTTAATGCGCATTTTATGCGCTTTTTGATTAGAATCAGAAAGTGAACAACTACTGAATCCTTTTCAATATGGAAAGACTGACGTGCAGGGAAAAGTCTTCTCTGAATTAGGAAGTGGCTTCTCTGTGGTTGGACCAGTCAGCAAATATGAGGGATAGAAGCTGGCTGAGCATTATTGCAGTTATTAGTGATTTGTACGTTGGTTACGCTCTGAAGTTAGTTTTTTAATTTGGTTAACAGCGGCGAGAGTTTTGGGTTTATAAGTTTATATATTGGGGCTTTTTTTCTTATCACAGAATGAGAGGAAATGCCTATGCATAGGCAAAGGCTGGAAGGAACCACCATCATAAACTAGGACTTACCTTTTTGAGTGAAGTGATCATAGATGTTGTAGGGGAACTCACTGTAGAGATGCAACATGGCTCGAGCAGCAAAGGCACCTGGGAAATGATGAACTCTCTGTGACTACTTAACTCTGTCACTGTTTGGCTCTCTGTAACCTGGGGCTTGGCTGACTTCCCGGAAAGCCAGACTGCCACCCAAAGACGCACAGCAGGTCCAGGAAGGACGCTAGTAGATGTGTAGAGTGTGCTAACTGCCTGGTGCTCCCTGTTAACTTAGGGATGCGCTGTTCTTTCTGGTGGTCTATGTGGCGGGTACAATGTGGTTTTACAGTTAACCACCTATGAAGAGAGACCCTGTCCTGGGTGAGGTGTGGACTCTTCCCTGCCCGCCATACACTGCTGTACCCGTGTATGTAAGTTTCTCCTATTAAAGTCCTTATGAATTTGAATAAGGCTACATGTCAGTTCTTTGGAATTGATCCTGAATTTAGGCTTTCGAGGCGCTCCCCAACACATATACTTAATTTATTTTCTTCATTAGGCCTGTATATATTTTCTGATCTTTTTTTTTTAATGAGAATGTATTAGTTTTATAATTTTAAAAGTTATTTAAAAATTAATGTGCCCTGGCCAGTGTGGCTTAGTTGATTGGAGGGTCATCCCATGCATTGGAAGGGTACCAGTTCAGTTCCTGGTCAGGGCAAATACCTGGGTTGTGGGTTTGATCGCTGTGGGGGCTCATATGGGAGGCAACCAATTGATGTTTTTCTCATACATTGATGTTTCTTTCTCTCTCTCTCTTCCTTACCCTTTCTCTAAAAAAATTAGTAGGAAACATATCCTTGGGTGAGGATCAGGGAAGAAGAGAAAAATGGAATGAACTTTCAATTTGTTTCCCATTATTTAAAATCTTGTAATTCTTCAAAGTTTTATTGTGCTAAAGACAAAAGAGATTTTAAAAAATGTTAGCAGTGAATTATGATATTCCTCGGCATAGCCATAAGTTGCATTGTGGACTCAGTTCTAGATATGGCTGACTTTGTTCTGATTTGCCTTCCCTAAAACTTCAGATCTTTGACAATTTTAATTATTAGGGCTTAAAACTGCTAATTATCATTTTACCCTCTCTTTACCTGAACACAGGTTAAGTATTTCAAAATACCTCTAAGAATTCTTGGTTGGGCGCTGTGTAAAGGATAGGGTGCCCCTCTAGAGACCCACATACCATTCTTGGTCGGATGCAGGCTGGCTTCAGCCGCTGTCCCAGTCGAGGAGGCCTGAGAGAGCGATGACGAATCCCACTGTGAGCTCGGTAGGCAGGCGGGGCTCCCTCCCTACTTTTCTGTGTGCCCTTGACAGTGCTTCAAGCCACACTTCCTTTTCTTTGGAGGACTGGGGCCTTGGTGAGGTAATAAGGCATCGTCGTGCTGGGGCCACACTTACGTGGTGCCAGGAAGGTCATCTGCAAAGCGCCTTCTGCACTGAGCAGTGTCCTCACTTGCTGTTTTGTTTGTCTGAAGAGGAAAGAAAGGAGGACTTGCCAGTGGTTTCTGTTGGCTGGTTATCTTCTTATGCGCAGGATAATGGCTTTGGAAATCTCAGCCCAACTTGAAACTGGCTCTTACTCAAGAGGCGGAAAGAAAAGAGGATCCCAACAATAATAATCAGAATCATTAACAGGGAGCTTCATCGTGTGTGTATATTGCACTTCGCCTGCTGCACTGCATTGAAAGTATAAAAGCTGGACAGTAGATACAACACATCAAAAAGCCAAAGACACCATTCTTCAATTTGTAGGAATGTGAACCCAGGCATATGGAGTGAAGCAGGAAGAATGCATATCTGTCCAGTGCGCAGTGGCTCAGAGGTTTCCAGGATGTTTCTAGTGCTCATTACCCACAGCAGTGCTGTTCTTCCTCACGTGGAGGGTGTTAATGAGACACACTTTCACCAACAAGCCTTCACTGGTTTTCGTTTGTTTTGACTGGAAGCATATATTTAATATGTTTTCTATGTCAGACATTACTACTTTCGGTACTTAACTGTTTTTGAATGTCTACACACTTGTGAGCTGAGATATTGGTCTCACACATATGCGTTAACAAAAAATTAAACACATACCCTGTCCTGGCCTCAGAGCTTGTGGTCATTGCTTTGTTATTCACGGGAATGGAAATCCTACATCTCTTCCATTAGGATAGTCCCTGAAGACACTCAGAAATGTCAGAGACTATACAGTTGTGCGTCTGAAGGGCACAGTCTGCACGTGAATAATTAGTGAGAATAGGGCTGGTGACCAAGTTCCCGTTAGAAGAAGGTGTGTAACATGGTTCACCATGCTTCTTACTTGAAAACTTTGTGTGATTTTTGCCATATATGGATTCAAGCCCAAACTTCAGAATGCTAAATAGGGGTGAGTGCATATTTAAAAAAAATTGTTCCTGATGCTGTGGACCAGGGTCATTGTCTTTTTGCTCTGACTTGGGTTGATTAAGCAATTGCTTAGATGTGGGCACATTTTTGTAAGCTAATAAACAGCGTGAGGGAGGAATTTCCAAATGCATCTCACTCAACAAAGGGCTTCTGAGAAAAGCTTTTCTTTGGTTCCCGTGGTTTGTTGCAGATAAAACTGACGGTGTATTTAGAATCCATCCCGCTTCCTCCTTCCCTGGGCTTCCTCCGCACGAGCCAGATCCCCGATCCCTCTCGGGTAGGTCGGGCAGTGGGTCTGTGACTGAGCTCTTGTTCCTTTCCCGCCTCGCCCGGTCCACCCCGTACTCAGCAACCCGAGTCTGTTTTTCAAAGGTCGAGGCTCCCAGTGCACCTGGAACAGAATCAGACCTGCTTGCCGTGGCTTAGAAGGAACTAGCCTCAGCCATTCCCGTGTTCCTCTCCCACCACATCACACACCCCCCCGCCCC